AACAGAGCCTCCGAGTCTCCAAAGCTCTCAGCTCATTCCATAAATGAGCTCTACTACGTCATTCATTTTAAAAGGGCTTTAAAAAGAACTGAAACATTGATTAAAAATGAGGAAGAGCCCATGCTGATGCCGGCACTCAAAATTTTCGGTGTATTTCCATGACTGCATGCAGCAATTCACAGTAAGTAATGAATTATGATTACGGATAAGGATTACACAATAGATAAAAATTTCAAGTATCTTTTATCTTGAAGACCAAACCCAGAAAACCATAGCTGAACACCATTTTAGACTTTTCTCCCATCAGCCGTCAGCTGTTGATGGGCACTGCCAGACCAGCTGCGCAAAGTGACTGCCACTAGATGGAGTGGCTCTTACAAACACACCGCTTAGTTGTCTGCAGAGACCTGGATTTAACTTCCTCTAGCCCTTTTTATCCAGCCTGCTTTACCGGCGTTCAAACATACAGGGTGTTAAATGTCAGCTGAAGGTTGAAGACACAACTTTGTAAGGCTTTGCCCTCAAAGCGAAAAGAATTAGTGAAGAGTTGAGGGGGCAAGTCTTACTACTGCCCTCCACTGTGTGGTTACATACAGCCTTAAAAGAAGCTTGGATGCTATCAGAATATAAAGACCCCTTAAGTAAAACATAAAATATGTAATACGTAAAAGGCTTGTAACTCATCTCGGACAACAGGGAGAATTACACCTCCCCTGGACTTCTCGTCGGTCGACAGGACCAGTTCACTCGGGGAACAAGAACGTGACTTCATTAAAATGCTATTACCTATCTTCTCCTGCTGTTCTGGGGGAGAGGGAGGGCTGGAAAGTTTTTATCATTGTCTAAAAAAAGGGCTGAATTTATTACAATTTTCAAACCAGGATGATTGATAGAGCAATTTTAATAGCCTGAATAGAAACAATGAATATTTGCGTTCTTCCTCGGAAAGTAATTATGAGCAATACAATGATGCTACTGATATCTGCAAAAATGTTGATGTGGCAAGAAAAGGAATCAAAACAAGAAAGGGAAATCCACAATCAAACCTTTCTAGCTTCTATTTTAGAAAATATTTTGATCTCCATGTCTATACATTTCTTCTATGATACCCACAGCTAATTAAGAACAGGCTAAAGGACAAGTAGGTATAATTGAAACATAGTTTTTGAATGCACAAAAATATGTAAATGCTTTCTCCTCGCTTACATGTTGTAAGGCTTGTAAGTCCTTCAGAGGGCTTTATCTTCCAATAAGTTTGCACAGCGCACAGTACACTGGGACTCCTACCAAACTGGGTCCACAAAGTACTACTGAAGGAGAAACAGCAGTAATTTATACTCGTAGTCAG